TTGATTTAGAATAAAATTTATATTTCAATCGATACCAAACATGACTTTATATATATATAGAACTCAAAAGTTGTAGGGGGCATGTGACCCCCTCGGACCCCCTGCCGGGGCATTTATGTTGTATTTAATAATAATCATGCTAAAAAAATGAGATTCACAATTCTAAATTAATAGTTTGAGAGATATACACATCTTAAATGCAAATATTAGCGGCTAGATCTTCCTTTCCCTGCTCCTTAGAAAAGTATTAGCCACATCAATGGAAGCAAGCCAATAATAAAAAATATGGAGAGGAGAGGGGACATAGCCTCTTATATAGACCCTAATTAGAGTTTAGATATTTCTAGCCTACAAACTTGAATTACCACATTAATATGATGTAACTCTATATAGCTAAGGTGTAAAAGAGTTCAAGTGATCATTCAACGTATTTGGCTTAACCATATTATTAGAGCTATACATCTAACCCATTTTATAAAACATAAAATTTGCAATCAAATGAGAAACCCATATTTTGAAATTATTCTAACACTTTACGCTTAGCAGTTCCTTGTCAAAACCTAAAAAGAGATTCACATCACAGTGGTAATGCTTTCACTTAAATAGAAATCATTGAAGAAGCAATTTGTTATCCATATATATGTTGTTCTTGTATCCTTTATGTACAAATAGAAATCATTGAAGAAGCAATTTGTTATCCATATAAATCTTGTTCTTGTATCCCTTTACGTTCAAATTAACCTACGAAAACTATATAAACTTGCGAAAATCTATCATTTTTGTACTGCCATACAAAGTGGAATACTTACCTATGGATTTGAAATTTGATCAAAAAATTATTCTTGCACTTTCTTTAGTCTTTGGGTTATATTCTTGTCCGGCAATTTTCGCAACCTTCAATGAAGGATCCATTGTCGAGAGGTACGAGCATTCAATGGCTAAAAATAGACACGTGATAAAAATAATGCAGAGAAGGCAATGTGATACAAGATATACAAAGAGAATATAGAATTAGTTGAGTCTTTCAATAGTGAAGGAACATACAAGCCACAGTACCAAACATTTCATTTAGTTGCAGATTTTGTCCAAACCTTTCATTTGTACCATAGTGGGTACCAAATCTTTCAAAAATCCGTACTTGGAGTCTAAATGGATAGAAATCATTAGTTGACTAGAGAATTGACATTGACGATAATTTTGACTTGGTATAAAAGGACAAAATGGTAACTTCAC